ATCTCGATCACCGACCAGCCGCATCTGGCCAGTTCAGGGAAGCTACAGTGAAGGCCGTAGCCATCCGTGTAGACACGGTACACCCACTCCCTGTGCGTCGCTCCCCACTCGAAAACTTCGCCGCACTGGGGGATGGGCGGAATAGCAATGGTTTGAAGAGGAGGAGCGGGAGGAGGAGAATGAGGAGGAGGAGGAGGAGGAGGAGGAGGAGGAGGAGGGGGAGGAGGAGGAGGAGGCAGAGAAGGAGGCGGAGGGCCGCGGGTGAGTCTGGCGGCGTCTCAAAGAGGGCCGCCAGTTTGCCCCCAATTCCCTTCAGGGGTCCGGCGCATCATGCCCCGACGCGCAGTCGGGTGCCCGTGCGCCGCGCTTGCCTTCGGCCATGAAGGGAGGAGGAGGAGGAGGAGGAGGAGGAGGAGGAGGAGGAGGAGGAGACGGAGAGGTGGAGGAAGAGGAGGGTGAGGATCAAGGGCTGCAGGAATGATGAGAGAGCCACTGGGATGAGGAGGAGGAGGAGGAGGAGGAGGAGGAGGAGGATAGGAGGAATCAGGAGGAGGAGGAGGAGGAGGAGGAGGAGGAGGAGGAGGACGACGAGGAGGAGGAGCAGGTCCCAACGCCTCCTCCTCCTCCTCCTCTTCACCTCCTTCCCCTCCCTCCCTCCCTCTCCTCCTTCCCCCCTCCCCCCCTCCTTCCCCTCTCTTCCTTCCTTCCTCCCCCCCTCCCCCCTCTCTCCCGCCCCCCTCCTTCCTCTCTCCTACCTGCCTTTCTCCCTCCCCCCCTCGTCCTCTGCACTACCGAGACATATCTGCTGCCCTACCTGGCATATGTTGAAACACCCTGCTGCCGATTCGAGAGCGACACCTGCCCGTCCCATGGTTGCGCGGACCCTCGCTCGTCCTCGTCCTGCCCCTCCTCCCCCTCCCTCCTCCTTCCTCCCCCCTCTCCCCCATCTCCCCTCCTCCCCCGCCCTCGAGAGGGGAGGGTCCTTCTCCCTCCCCCCCCCCCTCCTCCCCTCCCTATTCCTCCTCCTCCCCCTCCACCTTTTCCTCCTCCTCCGCCGCCTCCTCCTCATCCTCCTCCTCCTCCTCCTCCCCTCCCACCGCCCACTCAACCTTCCCTCTCCTCCTCCTCCCCTCCCCCCTTTTCCTCCCGCCTTCTCCTCCCCCCCTCCTCTCTCCTCCTCCTCCTCCTCCTCCTCCTCCCCCTCCTCGTCCCTCTTCCCCTCCCTCCCCTTCCCCCTCCCCCTTCCCTCGAGAGAGGAGCCCCCCTCCGCCCCGGCCGACCAGGGATCGTGCGAGGCGGCGCCAACGCCCGCACGCGCCGACTCGGTCCCGCGGCGTCGTCGTCGTCGTCGTCGTCGTCGTCGTCGTCGTCGTCGTCGTCGACGTCAGCCTTGTCGTCGGCCTCGTCGTCGTCGTCGTCGTCGTCGACGTCGTCGTCGTCGTCGGTGTCGTCGTCGTCGTCGTCGTCGTCGGTGTCGTCGTCGTCGACGTCGTCGTCAGCCTCGTCGTCGGCCTCGTCGTCGTCGTCGTCGTCGTTTTCGTCGTCGTCGTCGTTTTCGTCGTTATCGTTGTCATCGTCGTTGTCTTCGTTATCGTCGTTATCCTCGTCGTCGTCGTCGTCATCCTTCGCCTCCTTCTCCTCCTCCTCCCCCTATCCCTCCCCAGACCTTTCCGCGTCGTGAACAGACCGCGCAGGAAGGATTTCGGATGTCTCTCGCAAGTGTGGGATGGAGCTCTCACTGGGAATGCGTGTCGCTGCTATCTTTAATACCCCGCCTGCCCGCCCCGCACGTCTGTGTCCGCCTGCCCGGGTCGCCCGTCAGGGTCTGCCCGCGCGTCCCGCCCGTTAGGGCCCACCCGCCCGACCCGCCTTTCGGGGTCCGCCCGCCCTGCGCACCTGTCGGGGTCCGCCCGCCCAACTCTGACGCGCCCGCTCGCTTTCGCCTGACCCTCCTGTCAGGGCCCGCCGGCCCGACCAGCACTGTAGGGTCTGTCCGCCCGACCGGATTGTCTCCGTTCGTCGGGGCTACCAAGTAGTTGGCAGGAGAGAGCATACCCCCCAAAGTCGGGCATTCGAGGGTGCGGGGGTATTATTGCATAGTGAGAAACACGCGGGCGATTGAGAGCGAACCATTTGTTTGTTTTGCTTGCTTGCCTGCTCGTTTGTTCGTTTGCTTGTTCGATAGTTGTTTGGTTGTGTGCTTGTTTGTTTGTTTGTTTGTTTGTGTGCTTGTGTGCTTTCGTTTGTTGGTTTGTTTGTGCTGGTTGCTCGGCCTGCCTGTCTGCCTGTCTGTCTGTCTGCCAGTCTGTCTGCATGTGCGTATGTTTGTATGCATGCATGTATTCATGTATACATGCATGACTGTCTGTATGTTTGTATGCTCATGGATATACGTATGTATCTATGTATATCTACATGATTGCATGCATGTGTGTATGTCTGTATGTATATACGTATGCATGTATGTATGCACGAATCTGTGTATGTATGTATGCATCTGGGTATGTAAATGGGGGTGCACGCATGCATGTATGCATATATCTATATATATACATATATATATATATATATATAGATATTTGTATGTATTCGTTTGTTTGTTCGGATGTATGTACGGATGTCTATCAACATGCATACATACATATATACATACATGCAGGTATGTAGATATGTATCTATGTATACATGCATGTATGGATGCATACATGTATGTATGCATGCATGTATGTATACATGCATGAATATTTATAGGCATGCATCTCTCTGTGTTTGTGTGTATGCATATACGCAGGTATGCATGCATGCATGCATGCATGTATGCATGTCTATATATATATATACATGCATGCATGCATGCATGCATGCATGCATGTATGTATGTATGTATGTATGTATGTATGTATGTATGTATGTATGTATATATGTATGTATGTATGTATGCACATATACGTGTATGCATGCGTATGTATATATGCATGTATGCATTTAGGTATGTATGTTTGTATACAGCCACGTATGTATGTATGTATGTATGTATGTATGTATGTGTATGTATGTATGCATGCCTGTATGTATGTATGCATGCATGCATGTATATATATATATATGTCTGTGTATACATACATGTATGCATGTATGTAGCTATATATATATATATAAACACCTGTATATGTATTCATGTGATCATGCATGTATGGCGATACATGTAGCGACTGGGCTTCATCGGTCTAGGTCCCTGCTTCGGGACCAGCTTGCCGTGTCTGACCTCGCGAGGGGGCCCAGACCTGTCCGCGTGTACGTCCCAGACCTGTTCGGGGGGGTGACCTTGAGCCCCAGACCTGTCCGCGGGTGCGCCCTGGCCAGGCTTTCGACGCGGATCTGGCCGTTGCCACGAGGCCCGCAGGCTCCGACGAAAGGCGACGAGCGCACAAGAGACTCCCGATTCTCGAAGCTTGATCCTGGAGCCCCGATCCTCGAAGTACACTCCTCGGCTGGCGCGGGGCGAGCGTCCAGGCCTCACAGATGTGGCCATATTAGGTGGGGTTAGGAGGATCGCGCCGCATCGCCGATGCATCGGCGATGCTTCTCGATGTGCGCGGCCGGGCTTTCTCTACGCCGACGTCGCCGTTGCATCGCCGACGCCGCCGAGGCATCGCTGGTGCTTCGTCGATGCACCAGTGATGTGGCGTGATCCTCCGACCCCAGCTGCGGAGCGCTACGTTTGGCGGGTCTCCAGACCAGTCCAGACTAGGGGAGCGCTGGGGCGCCCTTCGGGAGCAGCGCGGCGCGTGCCTCGATGTGCAGTCGGGTGACCGCGCGCGCGCGCCGCAACCATCTCGGCTCTGTCTCCTTGGTGGGGCCCCGCCAGGAGGAGGAGGAGGAGGAGGAGGAGGAGTCGGAGGAGGAGGAGAAGGAGGATGAAAAGGAGGAGGAGGAGGAGGAGGAGGAGGAAGAGGAGGAGGAGAAGGAGGAGGGGGAGGTGACGGAGGAGGAAGAGGAGGAGGAGGAGGAGGAGGTGGGATAGGAAAGCGGGCGAGGAGGACGAGGAGGAGGAGGAGGAGGAGGAGGAGGAGGAGTCGGAGGGCAGCGGGTGAGTCTTGCGGCGCTCAAGTAGGGCCGCCAGTTTGCCCCCAATTCCCTGTGGGGGGCTGGCGCATCAGGCCCCGGCGTGCAGTCGGGTGCCCGTGCGCTGGCCTTCGGGGGAAGGAGAGGGGGGGGGGGCGCTGCAGCATATACGTACTTGCTTCGGTCTTCGCATCGCAGCAACGACGCGCAGCGAGGACCAGATTACACCCAGGATTCGTCAACGCTGCTGCATGCAATACGCCTTCCGTCCACGGTGTCCTCCTCATGGGTTTAAGCGCCACCTTGAACGACGATCACCCCATGTGCCTGCCATTCGGGCGAGAAGCCCACCCCTCCGACACGCCTGGGGGTGCGATAGCGAGGAGTTGTCTGCAAGGAGCGGGATTGAGGAGGAGGAGGGGGAGGAGGAGGAGGAGGAGGAGGAGGAGGAGGAGAAGGGGGAGGAGGAGGAGGAGGAGGATGATGAGGAGGAGGAGGAGAGGAGGAGGAGGAGGAGTTGGAGGAGGAGGAGGAGGAGGCGGTGGCGGAGGTGTGCGGCCTATCTGGATTGGTCCCGTCCGTGAGGAGCAGAAAGGTAGGATGGGGTAGGAGTTGGCCTTGCGCATGTGGGGGGTGATCTGCAGCCCAACACACCGTGTGACACTCGTGCAAGCTACTACCTTAAACGATCGCATATCTACTATACGAGGTTGTGGAGAACGCGCGCCGAGGAGGAGGAGGAGGATGAGGAGGAGGAGGAGGAGGAAGTAGGAGGAGGAGGAGGAAGAAGGAGAAGAAAACGAGGAGGAGGAGGAAGGAGGAGGAGGAGG